TGATCTCCTCTCTAAAAACATAAACCCAGGGGCCGGTGCTGTGGCACAGCGGGTTAACGCCCTGGCCTGAAATGCCAGCATCCCATATGGCTTCCGGTTCGAGACCTGGCTACTCCACTTTCCATCCAGCTCTCTGCTATGGCCTGGGAAAGCAGTAGAAGATGGCCCAAGTCCTTGGGGCCCTGCACCCACATGGGAGACCTGGAGAAGGCTCCTGGCTCCGGATCAGCGCTGCTCCGACCATTGCGGCCAATTAGGGAATGAACCAGTGGGTGGAAGACCTCTCTCTCTGCCTCTCCTCTCTCTGTGTAACTCTTTAAAGTAAATAAATAAATAAAAAAAGATGGCCCAGATGTCCTAAACAGCACTCTGGCCTCAGAATCAGCCCTTAAGGCATTCGGATATGGCTGAAGAGCACATGAGAGTATTTTAGGCATGGAAAGCCAAGACACCCTGGGGAAAAAAAAAAAAAAAAAAAAGAAGACCTAAATGAAAGATCTCTGCGAGTGAGATCCCAGTGGAAAGAACGGGGCCATCAAAGAAGGAGGTACATTTCTCTGAAGGGAGGAGAGACCTTCCACTTTGACTATGACCCTGTCGGAATAAGATCGAAGTCGGCGAACTCAAAAGGCTTCCATAGCCTTGGCAACTCATGACTAGAGCCTAGGGAGATTACTGACGCCATAAACAAGAGTGTCAAATTGTTAAGTCAACAACAGGAGTCACTGTGTACTTACTTCTCATGTGGGATCTGTCCTTAGTGTGTTGTCCAATGTGAAGTAATGCTATAACTAGTACTGAAACAGTATTTTACACTTTGTGTTTCTGTGTGGGTGCAAACTGATGAAATCTTTACTTAATATATACTGAATTGATCTTCTGTATATAAAGATAATTGAAAATGAATCTTGATGTGAATGGAATGGGAGAGGGAGCGGGAGATGGGAGGGTTGTGGGTGGGAGGGAAATTATGGGGGGGGAGCCATTGTAATCCATTAACTGTACTTTGGAAATTTTATATTTACTAAATAAAAAATAAATTTAAAAAAAAAAAAGATGGCCCAAATCCTTGAGCCCCTGTACCCTCATAGGAGACCTGGAATAAGCTCCTGGCTTCCGGCTTCGGATCAGTGCAGCTCTGGCCATTGCAGCCATCTAGGGAGTGAATCAGTCTTTCTCTCTCTGCCTCTGCCTCTCTATAACTCTGCCTTCAGAGCAGAGTTAAGCTGCTACCTGCAGTGCTGGCATCCCATACTGGAGCACCAGCTTGAGTCCTGGCTCCTCAGTGCACCTGGGAAGGCAACAAAAGATAGCCCAAGTGCTTGGGCCTCTGCCATCCCTGTGGGAGAGCAGGATGGAGTGGTAGGCTCCTGGCCTCTGCCTGGCCCTGCCCAAGCTGTTGCAACCATTTGGAGAATGAACTAGTGGATGGAAGATCTCTCTAAAATAAAAATTTTAAAAAATATAATGACTAAAAATTTTCCCAAACTGATACAAAGTATCAACCCACAGATTCAAAAGACTCTGAGAACCCCAAGCAGCATAAATATAAAGAAAACCATATACATCAGAATAAAGGCAGAGGGGCTGGCGCTGTGGCTGACTAGGCTAATCCTCCGCCTGCGGCACCGGCACACCGGGTTCTAGTCCCAGTCGGGGCACCGGATTCTGTCCCGGTTGCCCCTCTTCCAGGCCAGCTCTCTGCTGTGGCCCGGGAGTGCAGTGGAGGATGGCCCAAGTGCTTGGGCCCTACACCCCATGGGAGATCAGGATAAGCACCTGGCTCCTGCCTTGGGATCAGCGCGGTGCGCCAGCCGCAGCACACCAGCCGTGGCGGCCATTGGAGGGTGAACCAACAGCAAAAGACCTTTCTCTCTGTCTCTCTCTCTCACTGTCCACTCTGCCTGTCAAAAAAGAAAAAGAATAAAGGCAGAGGAAAACATTTTCACGTGGCTAGAGGGGCAAAATCACTTTCTTTTTTTAAAAAAATATTTATTTATTTATTTGAAAGTCAGAGTTACACAGAAAGAGGAGAGGCAAAGACAGAGAGTGAGAGAGAGAGGTCTTCCATCTGATGGTTCACTCTCCAATTGGCCGCAACGGCCAGAACTGCACCAATCGGAAGCCAGGAGCTTCCTCCAGGTCTCCCATGCAGGTGCAGGGTCCCAAGGATTTGGGTCATCTTCTACTGCTTTCCCAGGCCATAGTAGAGAGCTGGATTGAACAGCTAGGACTCGAACCAGCACTCATATGGGATGCCAGTGCTTCAGGCCAGGACGTTAACCCACTACACCACAGCTGGCCCGATTCTTTTATTTTTTAAAGAATTATTTTATTTATTTGAAAGAGAGAGAGAGAGAGAGATCTCCCACCCTTTGACTCACTCCCTAAATGGCTGTGACGGCTGGGGCAAAGCCAGCCCAAAGTCAGGAGCCTGGAGTTTCTTGAGTCTCTGACATGGGTGCAGGGGCCCAAGCACTTAGGCCATCTGCTGCATTCCCAGGTGTATTAGCAGGGAGCTGGATCAGAAGTGGAGTGGCCTGGATTCATATGGGATGCCAGTGTCATAGGCAGTGGTTTTACCTGCTACGCCACAACACCTGCCCCCCAAAAGGTTATTCTTAATCAAAGAATTCCAGCTAATAAGTGAAAAATAATAACAGTAATAATACTAGAAGATTCCATTTTGTAACCCTTGATGAAATAATGGATATGGTGTGGGCATTTAATGCAAGTTAATTAAGACACCACTTGAGATGATTGTATCTCATACTGGAGTCTCTACGTTCCAGTCCCAGTATTGTTCCCAGCCTCCTGCTAATGTCCATTCTGGGAGGCAGTAGGTAATGGCACAAGAATTTTGGTCCCTGACACCCATGAGGGAGACGCAGAATGTTCCTGGTTCCTGGGCTCCTGGCTTTGGCCTGGCTCAGTCCTGGCTCTTGTGACCATTTGGGAAGTGAACTAGCAGATGACAGAGCTCTTGCTCGCTCTCTCTCTCTCTCTCTCTCTCTCTTTCTCGGCCTTTCAAATAAGTTCAATAAATAATTTTTTAGAAAGGAATAATGGGCCGGTGTCGCAGCTCATTTGGCTAATCCTCCGCCTGCGGTGCCAGCACTCTGGGTACTAGTCCCGGCTGGGGCGCCGGATTCTGTCCCAGTTGCTCCTCTTCCAGTCCAGTCTGCTGTGGCCCGGGAAGGCAGTGGAGGATGGCCCAAGTGCTTGGGCCCTGCACCCGCATGGGAGACCAGGAGAAGCACCTGGCTCCTGGCTTTGGATTGGCGCAGCGCGTCGGCCATGGCGGCCATTTGGGGGGTGAACCAATGGAAGGAAGACCTTTCTCTCTGTCTCTCTCTCTCACTGTCTAACTCTGCTTGTCAAAAAAGAAAAAGGAATAATGGATTTAAGATATCCTGCTAAAACCACTAATGGCAAAGCTCACAGAGAACTTTAAAATGGATGGATCCACGTGACAATATCTGGACCCCATTATCAACAAGACAAAAAGAGACAACCAGACATTTTGTACCTCCTAATGAAATGCAATAGGATGTATACAAAACACCTAGGCGATATTTTGTCTCCAAAACTCAAACCTATGGCTAAGATTACATCTATCTACTTATTTACAAGAAACAGAAGATATATTAAATACCACAGGGATATAATCAAATTTACAGGACAAAAAACCCTACGGTTTTGTCAACAAATAAATGGAAAGTTTAAGACCGGGAGAGAGCAGCAGGCATGGCACAGTCAAGCTGCTGCCTGGAACGCTCACATCCCATCTCAGGGCACCTGGGATCAAGTCCTGCCTGCACCTCCACTTCCCATCCAGCTCTCTGCTAGCGCGTCTGGGAGGCAGCAGCTGATGACTCACAGACTTGAGTTCCTGCCACTCAATGGGAGACCCACATGAAGGTCCTGGCTCCTGGCTTCAAGAAGCCCAAGGACCCTGGCTGTTGTGGGCTTCTGGGGAGTAAAGCAGCAGATGGAAGATTTCTCTGTCTCCTTCTCTGAAACTCTGCTTTCAGATAAAAACTTCTTTAAAATGACAAGTTAAAGAGATAGTGGGTAAAGAAACCAGGAACTCTGAGCATACTGAATCTGAGGTGACCCAACAGTAGCGTCTCTTAGTCTCTTCATGGGGAGGACACTTCCTGGAGCCTTTTGACCAAATGGTAGAACAACACACTGCTAGGAGTCAGAGAGCTGGGTTCCGTAAGTCACCTTGACACTGGCAAGCTGTATCATTCTGCAGCCTCAGAAGTGGCCCGTAAAACGAGGGGACTGGGAAATGGGCCTTGAAGAAAACTCCCAGCTGGGGATGCAGGGGAGAAAGAGGAACCAAGGAAGGAGAGAAAGCACGCACTTAGAAAAACAAGCTAGATAACTGTCATTGGGGCCAAAAAAAAAAAAAAAAACACTAGAGTGAATTTTAAGAAATAGGAGCCAACGCCAAGAATAAGCTTCAAGAAGGGGCTGTTAGATTTCCTAATAAGGAGGTCTCAAATAATTTCAAGGAAATTCATTTAGGAGAGGGAAGTAAAAACTAGCAACAAAGAATATGGGAAGAAACATACATATAATCCCACACTGTCAAGAAGCACATATCGGGCCGGTGCCGTGGCTCACTTGGTTAATCCTCTGCCTGTGGCACCGGCATCCCATATGGGCACTGGTTCTAGTCCCAGTTGCCCCTCTTCCAGTCCAGCTCTCTACTGTGGCCTGGGAAGGCAGTGGAGGATGGTCCAAGTGCTTGGGCCCCTGCACCCGCATGGGAGACCAGGGAGAAGCACCTGGCTTCTGGCTTCGGATCAGTGCAGTACAGACCATAATGGCTATTTAGGGAATGAACCAACGGAAGGAAGACCTTTCTCAATCTCTCTCTCTCTCTCTCACTGTCTATAATTTTACCTGTCAAATAAATTAAAAAAAAAAAAAAAAGCAACACATATCATGAAAAAAAAAAAAAAGGAGGAGGAAAGACGACTACTCACAATACTCCTTCCCCTCTTTGTTCTCCAATCACTACTTGCACCACCATTTTATATCGGTCAAATCCCATTTCTAGAAAGAAAAAATAAGAAAGTTGTCTGTAAGTAAATGCATAGTAAAATGACTCCTTGGAGGCACATTTGCCAGAAGTGGACACAAGCATTCAGCTCAGAAGTACTTAACAAGTATGTCGATAAGCACGGGATTCACAGAGACCTGAAGACAGAGCCCACTGCAGACTTACTGTGTGTGTAGGCTTAGAGAGCTCCCTCTCCGCTGTGTAATGGGAGTGCCAGCCCGCAGCCCCGGGCACATGGGAAGGTTAGGTGAGGTGCAGTGGAACAGTGCTGATGCACAGCACTCTGGGGAAACACGCGCTGCCTGCCTTCCCCTACTCTGTCAGGTGCTGAGCTCGGCCCCCAAGATACAGAGACAGACAAGACCCTCTTCTCGCAGCAAAGAGCTCAAAGGCAGACAGAATAATGAGATGAAAACATACTTTATCATAAATTGAGGAGCAGCGTGTATGAGCACAGAGCTGGGGGCTCCTCCCTTTGCCTGGGCCCTGGGAACAGATAACCAGAAAAGACCTCTTGGAGGACTGGGTAGATTAAGGCACAGAGACTGGAAGGAGGAGAGAGAAGTTGGCAGCTTAAGGACAGCTCTCCAGGCTATGCAGAGGGGCTGGCAAAGGCATGGGAGCCCAGGGCCTCAGGGAACTAAGCTACTCAGTAAGGTACATAAGAAAAAGATAAAGCCACAAGATTCCAGAGTATACAGAGATGACCCAGCACAAGTCAGCTGCTTGTCCCAGAAGCTGTACTGTTAAAGCCACAAAATCCTGCAAATGCTTACTAATACCAAATCTAGAGGGAAGAAACCTAAATGGGTATCTTTATTTTCCAACTTGTCTGGCCAGGGAATGGTGAGAGGGGAGGAGAGGGGGAAGGGGAGGGAGTGGGAGAGGGAAAGTAAGGAAAGGGAAGGGAGGGGAAGGAGGGAAGGAGGAAAGAGAGGAAGGAATAAAGAAAAGTGAAGGGGCCCAGATGAGACAAAGCCAGTTCTCTTTGATACAAGTGCCCATACGCTGGGCAAGGAACCTCCCATGTGAAGCACAAACGCTAATTCAGAATATTCAAGAAAATCTCAGGAGACAGAGCCCAAGTTATTTTTAAAAACTGCACACAGCTCAACTCCTCTCTACTGAATTCCTAACACCATAGAAATGTGACTGGAATATTAAATACCCAGCCCTCAAATAACAGTTCTGAGGGAAAAACAAAATAGTTCTAGATGAGAGTATACTTCAAAAAGCATATGGAAAATGAAGTTCAGGGGCCGGCTGGCGTAGTGGGTAAGGCCACCACCTGCAGTGCCAGCATCTCATATGGGTGCCAGTTCGAGTCCCGACTGCTCCACTTCCCATCCAGCTCTCTGCTATGACCTGGAAAAGCAGTAGAAGATGGCCCAAGTGCCTGGGCCCCTGCACCCATGTGGGAGACCCAGAAGAAGTTCCTGGCTCCTGGCTTTGGATTGGCGCAGCTGCGGCCACTACAGCATCTGGGAGTGAACCAGCAGATGGAAGACCTCTCTCTCTCTCTCTCTATGTGGCTCTGACTTTCAAATAAATAAAACTTTTTAAAAAAGTGAAGTTCAATTTATTTTGAGGGACCGGCGCCATGGCTAACTTGGTTAATCCTCTGCCTGCGGCGCCGGCATACCATATGGGCGCCGGGTTCTAGTCCCGGTTGCTCCTCTTCCAGTCCAGCTCTCTGTTGTGGCCCAGGAAGGCAGTGGAGGACGGCCCGACTTGGGCCCCTGCACCCGCATGGGAAACCGGGAGGAAGCACCTGGCTCCTAGTTTCGGATAGGCATAGCTCTGGCCGTAGTGGCCATTTTGGGGGTGAACCAACAGAAGGAAGACCTTTCTTCCTGTCTATCTGTCAAATAAATTTAAAAAAAAAGAAAAAGAAAATTTATTTTGAAGCAAAAAAAAAAAAAAAAAACCTTTGAAATCCATGCACACTTTCTCCCTGCTATACACTGTCCATGAAGTTTTGGATGACCCCATATAGATAGATAGATAGACAGATAGGTAGGTAGATAGATAGATTTAAATTTCTTGTATCAAAATAAACATTTTAATTCTGTCTTTTAGGAACTATTTGTTTGTTTGCTTAAGAGGCAGAGAGATGGAGACAGAGAAAGAAGTCCCATCCACAGGGTCACACCCGGATGCCTGCAACAGCGGGACCAGAACTAAGTCCAGACCTCCCACAAGGGCAGCAGGGACCCAGCTACCTGAGTCATCAGCTGCGGCCACCTGGGTGCACAATAGCAACAAGCTAGAATCCGGAACCAGAGGCAGGGAGCGGACCCAGGCATTCTGCTATGAGATGCAGGAGTCTTAGCTGGAGTCAACCATTAGGCCAAATGCCTGCTCCCTCCAGGAACTTTCTGAAGTACCTTCATCCAGGGGAGGAGAACTTAAATTAAAAAAAGTCACCCACATACCATCAGCGCGATTATGAAGGATGAGCAGAGCAACAGACACTGAATGGCAACATCCAGTGATGAAACTGCAAAAAACAAAAGAGTAAAAACAAAAAAGGGCCGGTGCCGTGGCTCAATAGGCTAATCCTCTGCCTTGCGGCGCCGGCACACCGGGTTCTAGTCCTGGGCGGGGCACCGGATTCTGTCCCTGTTGCCCCTCTTCCAGGCCAGCTCTCTGCTGTGGCCCGGGAAGGCAGTGGAGGATAGCCCAAGTGCTTGGGCCCTGCACCCGCATGGGAGATCAGGAAAAGCACCTGGCTCCTGCCATCGGATCAGCACAGTGTGCTGGCCACAGCGCACCGGCCGCAGCGGCCATTGGAGGGTGAACCAACAGCAAAAAAAAGGAAGACCTTTCTGTCTGTCTCTCTCTCTCACTATCCACTCTGCCTGTAAAAAAAAAAAAAAAAAAAAGTAGGGGGATAACCAAATCTAGGAACAAGAGGAACCCCTCCCAATTGGTTAAATGTGCAGAACATAAATGAATAAATTCAATCAAATAAGAGGTCAGATTATAAAGCAAAGTTTCAGAAAGGAAGATTATAGCCCTAGAAATACCCACACCACAATATTGTGAATACCCACATAGAATTAGTAAGTTCAAAATGGCAAGAGACAGGACACAAAGGAAAACTGAATTACTGGCTTAAGACGATCACAAGTAAATCTCAACAAAATGGAAGAGCCTGCAGCAGAGAAGAGCTAAGACAGCAGGGTCCCCACTAACAGGGTCTGTGGTCCTGGAGGCGAGGTCTGACAAACAGAACAGGAAATGTATTAGGACATACAAAAAAAACCCTTGATGCAGAGAAACAGAAACCTGCAAATTAAAAGATATAAAATGTTCCGTACCAGGCCAGACTCCAGAAAAGTTACAGGGCATGAAAACTAAGGATATAATTCTCTAAGCAGAGAGCATCATGCTGGCCTCCTATTTCAAAACCAGAAGACAATAAGGCAAAATCCACAAGATTCAGAAAATAAATTACTACCTCGAAAATACTACATTCATCCAAAGCATACTCTAGTAAAAAAGGTAGATATATAATCTGTGAAAGGCAGCATTTAGGAGTATTCCCTGAAAAAAACTTAGAATGAATTTTTTTTTTTTTTTTTTTTTTGGACAGGCAGATTTTAGACAGTGAAAGAGACAGAGAAAAAGGTCTTCCTTCCATTGGTTCACCCCCCAAATGGCTACTATGGCTGGTGCGCTGCGCCGATCCGAAGCCAGGAGCCGCGTGCTTCCTCCTGGTCGCCCATGTGGGTGCAGGGCCCAAGCACTTGAGCCATCCTCCACTGCCTTCCCAGGCCACAGCAGAAAGCTGGACTGGAAGAGGAGCAACCGGGACAGAATCCAGCGCCCCAACCGGGACTAGAACCTGGGGTGTCTGCACCACAGGCAGAGGATTAGCCAAGTGAACTGTGGCACTGGCCAAAATATTTTTTTATTAATATTTATTTATTTATTTGAAAGTCAGAGTTATACAGAGAGAGGAGAGGCAGAGAAAGAGAGGTCTTTCATCCGATGGTTCACTCCCCAATTGGCCACAACAGCCGGAGCTGCACCAATCCAAAGCCAGGAGCCAGGAGCTTCTTCTGGGTCTCCCACGCGGGTGCAGGGGCCCAAGTACTTGGGCCATCTTCTACTGTTTTCCCAGGCCATAGCAGGGAGCTGGATTGGAAGTGGAGCAGCTGGGTCTCGAATCGGTGCCCATATGGGATGCCGGAGCTTCATGCCAGGGCGTTAACCCACTGCACCACAGTGCCAGCCCCAGAACAAAATCTCATCAGGTAAAAGTTGAACCAACATAAAGTGCTCAGCAATGATATATGGTAAAAGAGCTAAATAGTGAGGAATTATTCCATGCACATGTAGAATACTATATGACTACGGGAAATAAGCCTACAGTACTTCATTGCCATTATTCATCGCTATATACACACAGAAAAGAGATCAGCCACAACGTTCACCTAGTACTTTTTTTTACATATTGTACGTATGTCTGGGGTAGTGTGATAATTTGATACACATGTATATAACGTGTAAGGATCAAATTAGGGTAATTACCATGTCCATCCTTCAACATTTATTATTCCTCTCTTCCAGTTCTTTATAAAATACATAATAAATGGCTTTGAACTATAATCACTCTATTATGCTATAGAATATTAAAACTTATTCTTCCTATGTAACTATATATTTGCTCACCTAGCAATGCTTAATTATGGGTGGTGGCATTGGGGTGACTTTTCAGTGGTCAAATTTTTTATAATGAGCACGTATCTTTTTTTTTAAGATTTATTTATTTATTTGGAAGTCAGAATTACAGAGAGGCAGAGAGAGAAAGAGAAGAGAGAGAGGTCTTCCATCCGCTGGTTCACTCCCCAGGTGGCCACAATGACTAGAGATGAGTGGATTTACAGCCAGGAGCCAGGAGCTTCTTCCTAGTCTCCCATGTGGGTGCAGGGGCCCAAGGACTTGGGCCATCTTCTACTGCTCTCCCAGGCCATAGCAGAGAGCTGGTCTGGAAGAAGAGCAGCCAGGACTCGAACAGGCGCCCATACGGGATGCTGGTCCCGCAGTTGGAGGATTAACCTATTGCGCCATGGCGCCAGCCCCAGGATGGCTGTTTTCTTTGTACTCCTCTAGATTTTTTAATTTTGAAAACTAAAAAAATTCAAAAAAGAAAATATATATAAACTTTTACACGTTAACTACTTTTGGGTAATGTAATTTTCTATAATTTTTAAAACTTGAGGACAGGCATTAGGCACAGTGGTTAAGCTGCCCCTTGGGACACCTGCATTCCATACTGGAGTGCGTCAACTTCTGGCTCCTCTTCCAACCCAGCTTCCTGCCAAAGCAGCAGGGGATGGCTCAAGCACTTGGGTCCCCACCACTCATATAGGAGACCAGAATGGAATTCCAGGCTACTGGTTTCAGCCTGGTCCAATCCCAACTATTGTGGGCATTTGGTGAGTGAACTAACAGATGGAAGATGTTTCTCCGACTGTCTCTGTATCTCTCTCCCTCTCTCTGCCTTTAAAAAAAAAAATTCATGTTAACTTTTCAGAACTGTTTAGGTATATTACAATGAACATGCATTACTTTTATAAAGACATTTTTTCCCTACCAAAAAATCATATCTTTAAAAAAGGGCAGATAGGGGCCGGCGCTGTGGCTCACTTGGCTAATCATCCGCCTGCAACGCCGGCACCCTGGGTTCTAGTCAAGGCTGGGGTGCCGGGTACCAGTCCCGGTTGCTCCTCTTCCAGTCCAGCTCTCTGCTGTGGCCCGGGAGGACAGCAGAGGATGGCCCAAGTGCTTGGGTCCCTGCACCCTCATGGGAGACCAGGAGAAACACCTGGCTCCTGGCTTTGGATCGGCTCCTGGCTTCAGATCGGCGCATTGCCGGCCGTAGCAGCCATTAGGGGAGTGAACCAACGGAAGGAAGACCTTTTTCTCTGTCTCTCTCTCACTGTCTATAATGCTACCTGTCAAAAAAAAAAAAAAAAGGCAGATAGAAGTAAAGAACTTTCCAGGCGACATAACACTAATAGTAGTACCATGATAATGTTTTTGCTAGCATTACTAACAAAAGAGAGACACAGAGAGTAGTAGGAGCACAAAATATGTCTGTAAGAAGCCGGTGCTGTGGCATAGCAGGTAAAGTTGCCTCCTGAAGTGCCGGCATCCCATATGGGCGCCGGTTCGAGTTCTGGCCGCTCCACTTCTGATCCAGCTCTCTGCTATGCCCTTGGGAAAACAGGAGAAGATGGCCCAAGTTCTTGGGTCCCTGGACCCATGTGGGAGACCCAGAAGAAGTTCCAGTCTCTTGGCTTCAGATTGGCTCAGCTCCAGTCATTGTGACCATCTGGGGAGTGAACCCATGGATGGAAGACCTTTCCCTTTCTCTCTCTGTCTCTGCCTCTCTGTAACTCTGCCTTTCAAAAATAAAAAATCAGGGGGCGGAGCCAAGATGGCGGAATAGTGAGGGCGCGCACCGATAGTCCGGGAAAATTTAGTTTAATAAAAGGGGAGTTACGGTAGCCTCAGAAAAAAGAACCAGGAAAATATTGCAGACAAAACTCTTCTGGATCCAGTGGGCGTGAATCGGAGGACCTACTGGGAGAACAAGGTCGCCCACCGCGCGCGAAAGCCGAACCGCAGGACCGAGCCGCGGGACTGAGCCGCGGAAGCCGAGCCGCGGGACTGAGCTGCGCAAGCTGCAGGGTCTGCGCGCAAGTGCTCGAAGGGGAGTGCAACAGCGGGGAGACTTGGGAAGTCCAGGGCTCCGAGTCCACACATCGGCGCTGGAAGGGGAGCAGACCTGCGTGGAGAGCGTGGGAGCCCACAGTTCGGGACACCAGCGGCAGACTCAACACACCAGCGCTGGAACGCGAGGTGAGCCGAACCTCAATAACCCGAGACACCGGCAGGCAAGCGGAGAGAGGAGACTAGAGGGAACGACCCCCGGGGCGGGGGGGACTTCACCAAGCTAACTGGAAGAGAGAGAGAGGGAAAAAAAAAAAAGGTGACTGGTATGGACACGGGTTTCTCTCTCTCCGCTCACCTCTCAAGGGCGAGCAAGACAAAGAGCAGGCGCCATCTTGGACATACGTCATAAGCAGAGCGACCTCAGGTCTGCACCGGCCCTGAGCCTAGCAGTAAAACCTGACTCTGGGTGGGGCGAATTAACAGGAGATTAGGACTTAGTAAATTTATGGTGCTACTGAACTGAGACTGTGAAAAAAGAGACGGTGGGGGAGAGAACTCACGGAATTCACGTGAGCACTCTCCAGAGACGCTACAATTCCGTAACTTTGGCAACCCAGTGGGAGACTGACGGAGAATTTGAGCCCACTCTAAGGGCCGAACAGATTCCCTGTGTGGTCCTTGGGAAAGAGCTTCTGATCTCTGGCTCCTGTGGGTATATCATTTGCCTGCTAACTACCTCCAACTTTGTTCAGCTGTGCAGAATAACTTCCCTGTTGAATCAAAAAAAAGAGAGAGAGAGAGAGAGAGAGAGAGGTTTACCACGCCTAACCTGGGAGTGTGGGAGTGTCACCTTTGGCACACCAAACAGAGCTCTCAGGCCACACCCATCTCAAGCCCTAAGGCTCCATCATAGTCCACTTAATCTAGAGTCATAGTATAACAAGAAAAAGCACCACAGTGAAGAAACCAAATATCTCCAATATGACAAATAACAAACGCAAAAACCAAGGTAATAAAAACAAGGAAGTCACCATGAAGCCCTCAAATGAAAAAGACACCCCAATTCAAGATTATGAGGATGATGACATAGAAGAAATGCAAGAAGCAGATCTCAAAAAATTGATAAGAACATTAAGAAGTTCTCAAAAACAAATTCTTGAACTACAGAAATCCTTAATGGACAAGATAGAAAATCTCTCTCGTGAAAATGAAATATTAAGGAGGAATCAAAATGAAACGAAACAACTAGTACAACAGGAAACTGGGATAGTGACTGAAGTGAAGAATTCAATAGATCAAATGAAAAACACAATAGAGAGCCTTACAAACAGAATGGGAGAAGCAGAAGAGAGAATATCGGACTTAGAAGACAGAGAACAGGAAAGGATACAGTCAGACCAAAGAAAAGAAGAGGAAATTAGGAATCTAAAACATATTGTCGGGAATCTTCAGGATACTATTAAAAAACCCAACATTCGGGTTCTAGGAGTTCCTGAAGGCATGGAGAGGGAGAAAGGATTAGAAGGCCTTTTTAGTGAGATATTAGCAGAAAATTTCCCAGGTTTGGAGAAGGACAGAGAAATCCTAGTACAGGAAGCTCACAGAACCCCTAATAAACACGACCAAAAGAGACCCTCACCACGACACGTTGTAATTAAACTCTCCACAGTGAAACATAAAGAAAAGATCCTAAAATGTGCAAGAGAGAAACGTCAGATTACTCTCAGAGGATCTCCAATCAGACTCACAGCTGACTTCTCATCAGAAACTCTACAAGCTAGGAGGGAATGGCAAGATATAGCCCAGGTACTAAGAGAGAACAACTGCCAGCCCAGAATATTATATCCTGCAAAGCTATCATTTGTGAATGAAGGTGAAATAGGAGACTTTTCATAACAAACAGAAATTGAAAGAATTTTAGACGTCAGTTCCAGCCCTCAAAAGATGCTTAAAGATGTGTAC